AACTTGGCAAAGTCATCTGCAATCTCCTGCAGGTTGTCCCAGCTGGTATAGCCCCATCTGCACTGGTGGAAGCCGAAAGTCCAGTACTGCTGCATGGCAGGCAAGCCGACGGTGGTCTTCTGGTAGGACTTCATCACGGCGTCAGCAGTCGGTCCAGCGTAGAAGTATAGGTCAATGGTGCCACCCAGTCCTCTCCAGGTAATGTTCGACTCCCGAAGCAAGATTTCCTGGGCGTGAGCGTTACGGAGGAAAACTCCGTGGGTGTAGGATTTGTAGTCGGCATTCTTGTCCGTGGCATTGGCGACGTAGACGGCCGACTTGGTATCGGCATCGACTTGGTAGTAGCGGGTATCGAGATAGACCGGGTGAGAGCCATAGATGTTTCCATCGATTGGGTCACCGGCATCAGCCGCGTAGAGTGTGCCTATTCCTGTGAGTTTTGGTACGCCTTGGTCCCGTACAGCAGTTACTTACGAGTCAGATTGTTGTTCAGCTTGAAGCCATGGATAACTTCACCAAGTCCATACAGATTGTAATTCTCAGGAAGCGGCGAAGCAAACTCGAAGAATTGATCTTCAAATACAAGCTTAGTTCCTGTGGTCGTGAACAAAACATCTCCGGTACTCTTCCTGGACACGTTGAAGCCGAAAGTGGGCTCGTTTGCCCACTTGAACTCCAAATCGCTGTCTGAGCCATCAGAGCTCGCCTTCCCGTCTGCAGCGGGTTTCGGGACGAACTCTTCAGGAAGAATGAACCAAGTGTTGTTCTCAGCACCCAGGTACCGCGGCAACACCTGTACGTGAAGACGGTCCGTTGCGAGGTAGTCGACAACGAGTGTCAAAGCCTCGACGTCGTTCCCGTACAAATTGCAAGCTGAGCCGGCGAGGTCGAGGTTGGCGGTGAATCCGTGTGATGTCGTCTGGACGTTGGAAGCCGTGTATCCCGGGCATACGCTCTGCGGGTCCTTGGCCTCCGGGTCCTCAATGTTGGGAATGAGATGCGCTCCCTCGTCTGCCGACGCGGGGACGGTGAACTGCGAGTGGCCGCTACTGATCGTGGTAGAGGCCAGGTACTGCCGTGCAAACGGCTTCCCGAATTCCGCGACCCTCGCCATCGCACAGAGCGCCATGATGGCGACTGCCGACAGGAGAAAGGGCACGCGGGTGAACATGTTGCCGTTGTTGCGCTGTGTGTCGTGTCGTTTCTCTCCTTTCTCGCTCGGGTATTGCTTTGAGCGGCGGGTGTAGAGCATCCAGAGACACTGAGAGAAGATGAGGAAGGCGGCGATCCAACAAAGTGTAGTCGTCGAGACAAAGGCGTTCGCCGCCGTTCTTATACCCCTCCATCCTCCCCAGTCCGTCCAGTTGATGAGCGTCATTTTTCTACCGATAGTGAAAGTAGTGTAGCGTTGTAGTCGCAGTCAATTGATTACCAAACGAGTACCTGCTTCAATTGGTCTTACAGGAAGAAAGAAAACGAATCATCATCGTGAGAAGAAAATCGTCGGCCAGACTGCGGTGTAGCTTAAGCTTCCCCGCACAGACTAATGCGGAGGGGAGAGACGAATGCCGGGGGGTAAAGATGGGGGAGAGAGATGGAATGACGGTTAGCCCCGAGGAAAGATCGTTCTCTGGGGTAAAGAGAGGAAGCTACGGTTGGCCGTAGGGCCTGAGTTTGTGCGAACTTAATCGCGAAGCGGTTGATGTGGGATGGGAGAGGAAGCTAACGTGGTGGAATGTTGGTGTATGTGGTGACGGAATGGCGCCAGAAGTTGGGGAAACGTGCGGAGTCTTGCGGAGTTTACGCAGACGGCGCGGCTCTCCCCAGCTCGCATCGTCCCATGGGGTTGTCGATCGCCGAAGAAGCGCCCGGCAGCGTGTAAGTGAATTGCTTGTCGCGACCTCACGTTTATACCTAGATGTGCTTCCTCTACAGATACTGATTGGATAAAATAGTCGCTGAAATTGCCCTTGTGAGCTCCATCGACTTGCAGCAAACCATTGGGGCTTCTAGCTGGCTAGGGATTCTTCTCCTTGGAGGTGAGTAGAAACTGCTGGGTTCACCGGCTTGTGGGGTACTCCCCGGGCTACTCACTGTTTTCTGAATACAATGACAAACCGTTGAAGTAATGTTGACTCAGGGAACTGACAGTAGTCTACGAGTTGAGATATGAGTCCGGCAAAAAGTGTTATGAGCTTCTTACAAGACTATGAATCTGGAGCCTAGCGGCTGCCTTGGAAAGCCTTTTTTCTTTTGCTATACAATGCGCCGGCGAATCGTGACTATGGGGTCGCCAGTCAATGGTATAGGGACATCAAGGTTGAAACCGCAGTTATGAGGTCGAAATAGCTAGCTAGTTGTTCGGACATGAACCTTCGCTACCTTGAGAAGCAATGTCTGGGAATCTGTATCTCCAATGCCATTGGGGTATGAACATTCGTAGAGTTACCGGAGAAAGCATTGCGCAGTGGTTAAAGATCATCCGCTCTCGCAATGCTTCGTGCCAGACACTCCAGAATAGCAATCGAGAAGCAGTGAGATCTGTAAGAAAAACAACGGAAGCCATTACTTGAGTCATATTCTATTCTTTATCAAAAAATCCAGAAAAAATGGAAACAAAACCGAGCTCTTCGAAAACTAACTTGGAATTTCTCAACGAAATCGAGACGCGGGATATATACGCAGAGCCCAAGCACTACGTCTTCCTGGCCTGGCCACTCAAAACAATGCTCACCGATGCCGCTGTGGCGAAGTGCTTCGCTGACATTATTCAGCCATCCAAGCCGGACACATTTCTCTGTCACTGGGTGAATGAGGAGTATCTCAAGCATTTTGCGTGGAAAGAGAAGACCCTATTGCCATGGGAAGACAGCCCAAAGCTGGTAATGCTTCTCACACGCCTGGAAGCCGCTCGACTAGGGGGTTGGTGTCAGCATCAAAATGTCTCCAAGGCCTCTGGATTCGAGGCGTACACTCCAAGATTAGTTAAAGAGTTCCAGGAGATGGCGGAGGCTAAATATGGCATAACCGGTGGTAACAGGGCCCTGTACTTGGGTCTTGGCGTACTCTCGTACGAAGTTGGAGGTGATCAGTACAAATGGCCACGACATTTCCTGGGATGCCCGCAGGAATTGGGCGTAACGTGGACATCATCGGGCTGTCAGTTCTGGAGAAAGGAGGCTCCCCAACAGACTCGACTGACGCAGATGTTACTCCAGGAGCACAATCTGAAGCCCTCAAATATGGGACTTTCAGCTGCGCAGCAGACTCAAGGCCAGGCCATCTCCGGGAACATACAATCTGACATGGCCAATTTAAGAAAAGGGCTTCCTTCGCCTTCGGCAGTCTTACCGAGGGTACTGGACCTCAACATCCACGGTGAAAACGGCCAAACACAGGTGCCTATGCATCTTGGTATCATACAACACGGACTCCAGCAGATATTCCCCGCGATTTCAGTTGGCCAGCAAATCACCATCGATCAGCCAAGAGGCCTGAAGCGGGAGAGAGACAAGATTGTGACGGGGATCAAGGCAAGGCCTGGTCATGAGGAAGCACAGGACCCTCCTCGAAAACGCCGTGAGATTTGAAGAGACCCCGTTTCGTTCGGGGTCGCAGAGGTGTTGGACTTGGTACTCTGGTCACGTAGATATCAACAACTTACGGAAAGTCTACTTCAAACCGTCCAAAGGAGGAGTATTGGTACGTAAGGTACTTGGGAGATGTGATTCTCCTAACGCTAATTCGGTTTCGGTGTTGTTTTGGCTGAGTTCCTGTGAGGCGGTCGAGACGAGGAATACTGCTCTGTATCTCTTGAATACCGGTCTCATGTCGTCGATTGGCTCGATTATCTGCTGTTAATAGTCATTCATGGCCAAAGTTGGACCGAGTTATTAGATAAAATCAGCAGTAGCCGACGCCGTGCAATAGGTACTTGGTAGTCAATTAAGCCTCATGAACGACTCTAAGCCTACAACTTTGTCTCAGTGGTAATAAGTGGGTTCTTGTCACCCTGGACCATCTGTTGAAGAGAGAAGTGAAAGATTGACGCGGAAAAGGTCGACTCGGTAGTATCAATAACTGTTGCCTAGAGAGAGTGCCGTCCGTATTCGGAGACTACTTACACAGTCCAGCTTCCGGCAGCCAACGGATGCTATGTCAACTGAGACATAATGTAAGAAAATAACATTAAAATTTCGGCAAAGTTTCAATAGAGGATGCATAACACAGCACGTTAGTAGGATGTACCAAGAAGGATCTCCATTCTGGCCAAAGGCGGACATCGCTAGTGTCAGCTAAGGCACAGCGTTTGACCACAACCGGTTATAAGTCACATCAACTGGACCAAACCGCAGGATCGTCTCACAATCATGCTTTCTTTTTTTGGCCTAAATGGACGTCATAAGCAGTGAGACTACTTTCGCCTGGAACCGAAGACTCTGTGTACTCCTGTGGTTTTCAATTCTTGAGATAACTCCTCGCGCAGTATGATGACTCGCTATCAACTATATCGACCAGCAATTTGGTCAAGCTGCTAATGACACCTACCTCAAACTGAAATTGAAATGGATCCTGACTACTCACGTAGCTTTCTTTTTCCATGCCGCTCCAGGGATAACAAATTGGAAAGAGGGATATCGAAGCATTGCGGCACAATAAGCTCAATCTTACCAACAATCAGCCCACTTTACAATGACTTCGTCGAGACTCAGAAAAACGCTTTGCCACCCAGAAGCTGTGTCTATTCAGAAACAGCATGAACTTCTCTATATATGAACGAAACTACATCCACAGTCATGTAACGACCAGACTGCTCTTTCAAGCGGTGTATCCTGCTATGCTCGACTGTCGGCGGGTTCACCCACGCCGCCCCGGTCCTCGAGCTCGGCGCTGTACTCGCAGCCCGCGGCCACGAAGTCCACTTCGGAACCATCTCCGGCCAGGAGCACTGGGAGTCAGACTATCCATCCATCACCCGCGTCCACAGCTTCGGTCCAGCCATGCCAGACGCCGACGCCGAAGCGCACTACGTGCACATGATACAGTGGCGGCCCAGCGACGGCGTCGGATCCATCATGGAATCCAAGTATCTCTTTGACTCCTACTAGCCGGGCACTTGGTTCCATTTACGCGAACTCATGCTCGACACAGAAATCAAGCCTGACATGATTATCGCAGACTTTTTGTCGAGGCCGCGGCCAAGGATATGATGATTGAGTTTGGCGTCCCCATTGCCATCATGTGGCCGCAGATGCCGTTTTTCCTGGCGCCTGTGAGCTATATTCCCGGCCAGCCGGGCTTCCAGGTCGATTTCACGCCCACATCGGAGAAGGCTTCGATTTGGTTGCGTATCAGGAATGAGATGGTCTTGTTCTGGGCGCTGCCGCATGTTTTTGCGTGGACCAGCTGGACACGGGAGGTGCGGAAACGACAAGTCGTGAAGCATTCGGTTCCAGTGGCGCCTAAACCGAACCACCTTGTGTTTGCCAACTCATTCTTTGGACTTGAGCCGGCCAAAGACTTGCCACCACTTATGCAAGTGGTTGGGCCGATCTTGGGGGATGAGTACCCTCCGCTCGATGAAAGCTACCGAGCGTTTCTAGAGTCTTATGATAAGACGGTGTATGTCGCTCTAGGCACTCATATTGTACTTCCACCAGCAGAGCTCCTGAAGATACTCACCGGTCTTGTCATGGCTATAGATGCAGGGCATATCAACGGCGTCATATGGTCCATTGGGAAGTCAGCAAGGCAGAATTTCGACAGATCAGCACATGTCAAATCACCCAACGGTGACAAGCTTCCAGTCGGTGATATCATGGATGAGAAGCACGCCAATATCCGAGTCCCATCTTTCGCTCCCCAGCGAGCCGTTCTCGATCATCCCAACACCAGACTCTATCCTACTCACGGAGGCGGTTCCAGCGCAAATGAGACCCTATTTCACGGAACTCCCACTCTGATGCTGGGCTTCTTCTTCGAACAGCTCGCCAACAGCGCCTGACTCGTCAAAGCAGGAGTCGGTCTCGCCCTGGACAAGTCTGACTTGACTACCACTGAGATCTCAGAAAAGATCGGCCGAATCGTATCCGACGTTGACGGATCCTTTGGCAGGAACGTTGAGCGTATGAAGAGGATAGCGCGCGTAGCATCCCGACGTAAGGAACTTGCTGTCGACATAGTCGAGGAGGTCATCTTTGATCACGAGTTGCGCTTGGTAGGCGGAAGAGCGCTGCGACCGATGCACCTTCAGACGGCAGACATGCGGATGCCGGTGTGGAAGGCTAGGAACTGGGATCTGTGGCTCGTCTCCGTCTCTATGTTGGCGGTCGGGGGTACAATCTACTTCATGGGCGCGAAGTATGCTCGGCGACTCGATTAAGGCATCTTTAGATTTGTCTCGGGTATCGTGTACGACGTGAATTGAACCAGAGACATGGCTCGACAGCTTGATTTGCAAAATGATGCGATATTCGAAAACAAGGGGCATCGAAGGAACGAGTATACACATTCCACTGGTCGGGGCTATTGGACTTGTCAAATTCGTTAGTTTCTTCGAGATGACTTCATTTGTGTCATGTGTAGAAAGAAGGAAGAAGATATGGTAGGCCGGTTTTAGTGCTTATTGATGGAAAGCCAAGTATTTACGGAGTCTACGCCACGAAGGATGCCTGCAGATCGATAAATCGGCTCTGCTTTTGGCCTTGTCTTACACGGACGTAGACATTCCAGCTCATGTTGAACCTCCGGTCTGGAGCGGGGGCGGCGGAAAGCTACAGCCATGAGCAGATCCGGCCTTTTAATAGCAACCCTTCGATAAGTATATATGGGATGGGGAACCGCAAACTTTAAAAGAACTCATTCAAACAACTTTCATGGATTACTGAACGAAGTCAGCATTGGCTTCGAAAAGTCGACTAAGAGAGAAAGGTTGTCGGTATTCCTGCACATCAACACCGGCTACCTTACAAGCCAGCTCTACACTGTGATGGGAATTTCAAACGAACTGATTGTCGTGCGGCTGGGCAACCCGGATGCGAAAACTCTCTTATCAGCATGTCTATTCCTCATACTTGCCTACGGAGCATTGAAGGTCCTCAAGGCATTATGGAATGGCCTCACAGGGCCGTTGGCCAAGATACCTGGGCCGTGGCTCAATAGGTTCACGGCTCTGCCCTGGATGGTGGCAGTCGTCAGAGGCAAGGCGTTTGAGAAGGGAATCAACTACAACCGTAAATACGGTGACATTGTCCGAGTCGGTGAGTTGTAATACACGTCTCTTAAACATGATGACCTTTGCCGACACCTAATTGAAAAGCCCCCGATCTCGTTCTCGTCTCTGACGAAAAGTCCGTCCACCAGATTCTAGTAGGAATGGACCTCCGAAAGAGCGTCCTGTATGAAAAGTTCAGCCAAAACGAAGACGGCGTCACGCTCTTCACCATGCGAGATCGGGCGCAGTACCGCACCCGGCGAAGGCTCTTCTCTCATGGCTTCTCCATCAGTTACCTCAAGGGCCTTGAGCCGCTGAAGCTGAGTTGTATTGAGGCGCTCGAGGAGTTCATCGACAATCAGTGCGCCCGGGATGGAGGCGAAACCGTCATTGATGCTTGGAACCTCATGGGCCGCCTGGCGTCCGACATCATGAGCGCAACTGCGTTTGGGGGCTCGTTTGAGTTGGTGAAGAATGGAGAGCATCCTATCCGCAAGAAGTTCTCTGAGAGCTTTAAGAGGGGCACAATTGTAAGTGTCACTCCAATTGGTGGCGAGACGAAATGGCTAACGATTGGCGGGGAAAAGTATCAACTCCTGCCCTTCTTGAAGTATATCCCCTTCCTACCCAAATTCCGGGATCCCGAACTTGCTCAACTCATCAGTGATATCATCGAAAAGAGGCAAGCGTCGACCGACAAGCTGGCCAAGCCTGACCTGCTACAGCTCCTCCTCGACACACATGAAAAGAACCCAGAGACATTGTCGCGTATCGAGGTGTTTTCCGAGATGCTCGTCTTTTGGCTAGCGGGCAGCGAGACGACCGCTAGCACGCTCACATTCGCAATGATGTTCTTGCTCAATGACCCCCCTTCCTACCAAAAACTTGTCAACGAGATTCGGGGGAGGTTTCCGTTATCGAATTCGCCGGTTTCAGACGACCAAACGACGGACTTGCCGTTCTTGCACGCTGTTTTGAAAGAGACAATGAGGCTTGCTCCTCCGGCAACTGGTGGTAGGATTCCTCTTTCCTCAAGTCTGATGTATGAATAACTGACAGTTTATCAGGGCTTCAAAGACAGACTGATGAAGATGCGATTCTGTCTGATCACTTGATCCCAGCTGGGGTAAGCCGCCTTTCCTACGAGACACTTAAGTCAAAGTCCATCTTTCCCGGAGCTTGACTGACATCGAACAGACTAGAGTGACTGCAAACACCACCGTACTGCACTGGGATGAGAAGCAGTGGCCTGACGCAGAGAAGTTCGTTCCCGAGAGATGGCTGTCTGACTACAAGGGCACGGCCGCCAACGAAAGAACGGCATACTACCCCTTTTCTGCGGGATCGCGGAACTGTATTGGAAAACAGTAAGCCGCCCAATGGCTCTCACTTTCAGCCTGGTACTAATAAAGTGAGAAGATTCGCGTGGACGGAGCTGCGGCTCACCCTTGTGTCTCTACTTCGACGGTACGACCTGTCTCTAATCCCCAATCAGTCTCATGAACTTGTTCATTTCACAGTCCTTCATCTGAAAGCGGGAAAGTACATGATTGGCATCAGACCTAAATCTTAGCATTCTGGTTCGGAATACCAAAGCCTTCGATATGAATCGAAACGATGATATTATAGTCATTTGATGTAACACATTTTCTTTATCTTAGTCCCTGGTTGGTATCAGTAGGCGCGAATCCATCCACTCATCATGAATGGCGCAAGCAGGTGAGAATGAAAGTCTGAACCGTTTTGACTTCAATCTCGACCTTTTGGCGCGTTCACGGTATAACAAAGGCGAGGTTCTCCTATAGCTGAGCGTGTTTGTTTCATAAGAACTGAATACGTTAGTGAATCGTGAGGTATCTATCGCCGTCGAGTATCGACGGGTAACAGTGAAAGCTGCAGCAATGCCTTTTGCAGGGGAGGTGAATCCAAAGTACCTTACGGGTATGCGTATGTACAGGGGCGCGTTGCTGGAAAGCTAAGTGGGCCTTACGTAACAACCTGCACTTGAGAAGATTACCTAATTTTCTTAGAGCTCCGAACCCCTACCTTCCGACAGGGAATTTTTTCCCTTTTCCTCATCTTGCTTCCGAGAACTTCTCAATTCCCTTTCTCTCCCCTTCTTTTTCCTTCACCATGGCAGCAGTCAGAGACAGTTTCCTGGACCTGGAAAAGCATCGCCTGCAGCTTGAAGACTCTGTTGCTAAGCTGCAGAAGGCTTTGCAGCACTGGCAAAAATGGGACGCTGAATACGAGTCCTTGAGAGAGGAAATCGAGTCGGTTCCCCAGCCTGCCAGTCGGGAGGCTCTTGCGCGCATTCGCAGAGACTTCGAGGGCGAGGTTGTCGACAAGAAAGAGATCAACGACCTTTTTGGGCGCATTGATCTGAAGCCTGCCGACCAGATTGTCAACCTGCTTTCGCGTCGCATCGACTATGTTTCCAAGAACATCGCCACTCTTGAGAAGCAGCTCGAGACTGCGGAAGAGAAGCACGCTGCCGCCAGCGTTCTCAGCAATCCTGATGTGCGGGATGAGGATGGCTTGCCTATAACGGAGATCATCGAGGAGCTCGACGAAGAGGGTAATGTGCTCTCCAGCCGATTGCAGCAGCCTGGCGATTCGAGCGCTCAGATCAGGGAGATCCTGGAGAAGGCAGGCGTCAAGGACATCCCAACCGGCCAACCCTCGCAGACGGAGAAGACAGGGCCCATCGTGGAAGACGTTACCGACGAGCCTTTGGCTAAGGCATCCGACTCAACATCAGCAGCCCAGAATCCCGCGCAGTCTGTGAAGGAGCAGCTTCCCGAAGCAGAGGTTGACGACTCTGTGGCAGTCAAGAAGTCCGTCTCATTCGCCGAAGACACCAAGCCCTCGGCAGAGCAGCAGGTCTCGAGGAACGCTCAACGAGTGGAAGAGATCATGCAGACCGCCAGGAGCCAGGAAAATATCAGCCGCGAAGCGCCCGTCATTCCCGAAGACGAGTCTGAGGAAGATGCCTTTCTCCGCCGAGAGATGCTGAAATACGGCATGGAAGAGGTGGGCCAAGTCGTGGCTGAACTCAACCTTGAGGATGGCGATGGCTCTGCCGATGATGACGAGGACTGGGAGTATGAGTACTCTGATCTCGAGGACGACGATGAAGAAGACAAGTTTGGTCGGTCTACTTCCAGCGTCTTAGACGACGGGTATCATCAGCGGATGTTAGAGCTCGAAAAGCGACTCGGGGTCAAGTCTCGGTTCACTCAGAAGTCAGAAGCAGATGACCAGGAGTCAGACGAAGACCAACAGGGCATTGGTCGCATCATCGTTAACTCAGGTGACAAGGGCAAGGCGGTCGAAGCTGCCAAGCCGTCGCCTGTCCCTACGACGTCCATCCTGAGGACCTCTTCCCCGACGGACGCGGACGAGAGCAAGAAGAGCGTCCGGTTCGCACAGAGCCTGGATGTCGCCCCAGATAGCGTTTCGGACACCGCTGCCGCGCCGCCGACTGTTCCTCAACCACCGCCAGAGCCCATCGTGGAGCCTCTCAGCGACATTGTAGAGCGTACCGGCCCCGCCAGACAAGCGGAGGCCAAGTCAACCCGCAAGGTGTCTCGGTTCAAGAAGCAGAAGGCAGCGCCGACGGTCGTTGATGATGGCTTCGTTCCCATGGGCCCGCGCGATGTGCCGTCACGCTTCATCGACCAAGACAGGCCCACCGCCCCGACGGGACCTGAGGGGAAGACACTGGCAGACGCAGTCGTCGAGAAGGAGAGCAAACCTCAGGACGAGAACGCTTTTGACGAGGACTTCATCGACCAGGATCTCGCCGACGAGTATCACCGACAACGTCGGAATTTCATCCAGAAACAGGGTGGCTTCCTCCAAGAGGATACGTCCGTGGTCCGGCCTCTTGATGAAGCTGATGGTGGTCAGCGTATCAGCAAGTTCAAAGCTGCACGTCTCTCTAAGCAGTGATCTGGTCGGACCCAGAAGAATAGGTATGTGGCTGATTGTTTTCTTAACCTCAACTCCCTCCCCAAAATGATGACCAAGACAATTATTTATACAGTTATCCCTATCTCAATAATATTATGTGGATACGGTTCTAATTTCTGATTTCCTTCTTTCTGCTACTCACGTTTGACGATCTTGTCCAAGGAATCTGGCTAACAAGACGCAAAGTTACCACAGGATACGCCAGCTTCACCATTCGTACCTCCTTGGATGTCCCAGGCTCAGCTCGCCGTGACACATCATGCTAGGTAAGACGAATATTTACTAGCTTTCATTTCCTCCCCCTCGACCTGATGACCAAGACAATTTTTTATACAGTTATCCCTATCTCAATTCCAATGTGTGGATATGGTTCTAATTTCTGATCTCGATGCTATTGCTACTTTGTTGTTTGCACTTCACTTCATCGTCAAGAGTCACGGCTAACAAACGAAACGTTGCAGTTCCCGAATCCAGTGATCACACTTACTGATTGTCCCCCAATCCATTGTTCCCGTCCAGATCTGACCCTGCAACGCCATCCATTCGGACGCGGAGAGGTGGATAGAACGGATAGCAAATTGGATTGATAGAGACCTTACTTTGGGCCTCCCCCACGCGGTCAGCGATTCTGTAGTTCATGAATCCTGTCGTGTCTTGCTTCTCATACTTTGCTACTGTCCACTAATTCTTACAGTGTTGGTTTCCTGTGATGTCGTGGGCGAACTTGTTGCGCGTCTTCCCCCAACTAGCGTGCATCGATTGGGAGGAAATTGGTCTAGTTTGCGAAACGGACCGCTTATCAATCTGACAATTGATGGGTCGCAGCAATTAATCTGCTTCACCATTACTAGCGGATCCAAGAGCAATGGTCTACGCATGGGCTCTCTGATGCCGTAACCTATGGCTTTCGCCATTCGGTGGTTTTGGCTCTTCGTTTCACCCCTGACATAGCTTTTCAGCTCGGAAGAAGCATTTAGATAGGATTCAATACAAGATCATGGCGGTTCTAAGCATAAACCTTTCCCTACATCAATCTGTCATGAACATGTGTGCTTTTATTGATTTAGACTCATTTCTCGTGAAAAAGCAGGATCTCTCAACGTCTAGCTAATCTTGGCGTTGCTGAAGTCCATCTCTGGGTGCTCAGCCTGAAACTTCTTGAGAATGTCAAACTTCTTCTGCTCGTCCGAGGTGGGCAACCCTTGCTCCTTTTGGCGCTGGTCAAACATCATCTTCTCCACCATGCCGCGGGTCTCGCCATCGAGGTCGGACAGCTTGCTCGTGTCGGGGGTGATCTTGGAGACGTCAATCTTGGGCGCCGCGGTGACGACGTGCGCCCACCACTCCATCTTGTTGACCTTGTCGAGGTGGATCTCGACCGTCTTTGTGCCGTCGGGCGCCGAGGATAAGGTCCAGGTTGAGTCGTCGACGAGGATGGGGTGGGAGAGGTCGCCCTGTGATTTTATCGTTGTGTAAGCGAACTTATCTTTCATGCGTCGTACTTGCTGTAGCTACGTAGGCACAAGGGAAGATGGAGAGAAGAAAGGACGAAGGAACTGTGGCGTACGCTGACGATGGGCTCTTGGCCCTTCACACCGGCAGAGAGCTTGGTCTTCTTGATGTCGATGACGAGGTCTCTGCTCTTGTAGTTACCGGGGACGCTAAAGGTGATGTCGACGTCGGCAATGGTCTGCTGCCACTTGTACGGCAGCGCATTCTGCTCCTCCGTCTCCTTGGCGCGGGCAGCGGCCTCCTCGGCGGGTGTGGGCTCTGTTTGAACAGCATTTGTCAGCACGGAATTCGTAACGATGATTTGTTTTCGAGTTTGAATATCTGATAAAAAATGTTCTAGTAAGCAGAAACGTACCTGGCTTGTCGTTGTCAGCCATCTTGTTGCAGTTCTTTGAAGTGGTGTTGACAGTCGAAGGCAATGGAACGCAAGCGCAAGAAAGGCTGATGGAATATTTGGAGGGGTAGCTGCTAGCTGTGAGACCCCTGCCCCTCCCGCCCCTGCTGTGGTCTACCTAGAAGCTCCAACCAATCACCTCGGCTTAATATATCCTTCCCCGTCAGCCTTGCACGTCAACTTGTCGTTCAGTTTTATCGCGGTTGCAGACAAAGCATCATCGTCTTTGCCCGAGCAAGAGGCTCCATTTCTCAACACCTGCCACATCTTCCTTCCTGCTGTTGAAAAGATCGGATTAATCGAATTTGATGTCCGATGCCACCTTGAGATAGGCCTCAATTGCCCGGACTCTCTTCCTCCGTCTCCTCCCCAGGAGACCACATCTCTCCGGCCACCGTTCACGAAGAACCCTCCTCCCAGACGACACATCACCACCGTCCTCCAAAAATGGCCACCCGCCGCGCCTCAACCTCCGCAACAGCGGCCCCAG